TGCGCAAATACTTATTAAAGCCCTCACGAAAAAGGGTTGATGCCCAGAGCCAAAACGCTTTCGGGGAAAATACACCCAAGGCTTCACATAATAAGACGCAAACTGAATAACTTGCGGAAAATCTTAAACAAAGGAAGAAAATGCGATGATTAGAGACTTCATGAATATTCAAATAGAAGAAAGACTCAAACAATACTTGAGCAAAAACATGTTTTTATTTATAATGACATGCCAAAATGGCACAGATACAAGAATTGAAAAAAAAAACTAAACTGCAGTATCTCTAGAACTAAGAGGAAGAGAAGTGTCTGCGCCCCTGGGAGAAGTAAGTGGATCCACCGATGACTCAACATTTTGGTCATCACCAGTTTGTCCTTCAGCATCATCATCCTCCGATTCTTCTTTAGTTCCCAAGAACTCGGAACCAGAACCAGAAGAACTAGAAGCATCAGACCACGTTGGGAGTCAACTTTTAGGAGCTAACTCAAGCTCACAAGCCTTAGCAATTTCGGCATCAAAATCGATGATACCAGCTTTGGCCTCTTCCTAGGTTTTTCTCCTCGTTGTATATAGCATAAGTTTTCTCAACAACGGGGGAAGCCTCTCGACGTGTAAGTTCTTCTTTGAGTCGGGTTACCTCAGCAGAAAGGCTTTCCCGGGCGGATCGAACAGATTTGAGGCTAACATCAAGGTCATAGACAGTTGAACTAAAGAGCCTATTATGCTCGATAGTTTTCCTGTACTTCTCCTCCAACTGGGCATATTTCACCCCTACAGCAGCAAACTCTTCAGTTTTGGAATTCAAGACTGCCTCCAAATTATTCAATCTTTCAGTGGAGGCAGTCTCACAATCTGATGCAGCAAGAACGACGTTATGGACTTAAACCCATTTAGCTTTAGCTTCTTCAAATTGAACCCTCAGCGGGGCGATCTCTTGGCTAAGGGTTTCCACCTCTTACTCGCTTTGCTGCAAACGAGCTTCCAATACAATGGCCTTAGTGGCCTTGGCTTCCAGTTTTGAGAGGCGAGCAGCACTTTGCTCCCGCTCTGCCAAAAGCTGATCCTGTGCAGAAGTAATCTCTTCATTCTCACGAATCAACCTCTAAAGGCCCTCGGAAGTAAGAAAGTTGACCTACAAAGCAAGAAAGGTAAACCTCAGAATACGTTCATACAAAAATAGAAGAAATAACAAAGGAAGAAAGGAACGTACCGCTGCGGCATTGTGCATGGCGTTGTTCAATAAACACTCTCCCGAGAGTGCCCGAATCTTTTCCCAATCTTTCTCTGAAGCCAAAGGCTTCAGAAAATTAGTAAGCTCCACCGGTTGGGATAGAAAGTTGCATCCAGTAGAGACCGAAAGAGTAACATTCCTCCTCTTTTATGGATCTTCAGAAGGGGCAGCATAATTTTGCTCCAAGATCCCATGAATTGGGGAAGAGGGACACCTTCTTCATGGTCAGATGCGGCCGATGGAGATGATGTAGCAGTTGCTGGTGGAAGAGTAGATGAATATGGAAATGATGTAGCAGTTGCTGGTGTTGGTGAAGATGGAAATGAAGCTGATAGAGTTGAAGAATGAGAAGCAGCTGCATCAAATGCAGTGTTGGTTGTTGGATGCTCGCCAACCAAAGATGGCAGGGACTCGGTACTCAGCCCCGCAGCATCGGGCACGACAATTGGGGCCTGAAAACGGGAGTTGGCATTTTCTACTAAATCAAACGCTCCCCAAAGTGCCGAGGCATTATCCTCGGTTGGTGTAACTAACTCAACAAATTGAGCATTCCGTTGAGTTGATGATGAACGTCGCCTTCTATGTAGAGAAGCTCCATCATCACTAGCTTCTCCATCATTGTCGATCATCACAGTGTCTATGAACGGCCCGGGAGGAGGGCTGGTGATCACAACTTCCGGAGACGACTCGGGGGCAATAGTCTTCGCCCTCTTATTCTTTTCCCCGACCACGGAAGAATGCCTTCTTTTTGGTCACTTGTTCTCCGCCCGGGGACTCCTTAGTAAAACACCTGTGCCCGAAGCAGGCCCGAAGACACCTGTTCGAGTAAGCGCCTCCTGAAGCAGCCTCGTCACATCTGCAGGATCATCCAAGACGTCCTCCTCGGGGACAGCAACAGAGCCCACGGGTAGACCTGATTTCAAGAAAAAGATAGAAAGGATCAATCAATTTCCTCACATAAAAAGTTGAAACAAGGTTAGTCTAAATTACCATGATTTTTGGCCTTCCACCCGTATTTGATGGAACTCTTTCCACATATAGGTCCCGGGCGTAGTGGCGTCTAAGATCTTTTGAACCCACTGGCCCAAGCCTTCAACCATAGGTGGAACTCATCGAATTGCTGAAACAAGCGTAGAATGAAGGATCAATATAGATATGGAAGAATCCCTAATCAACTAAATATGAAACAAAAAGCTTACGAGTGCGGTTCCACGCTTCCGGAAAGGATGAAGCCATTGCCGGAATGATATCGTTGGTGGCAACTGAAACGAACCATTCCATCCACCCACGGTCGTTGTCGTCATCCGTGCTAGATAACAGAGCATGGTGGCCACGTTTGCAGAGGTTTATCATTCCCCCGTGGAAGATCTTGGGAGAATAGAGATTCATCACATGAGCTAAAGATAACTCCTCTCCCATTTCCTGGCACAAACGCCGAAGACAGGCAATCATCCTCCTCACAGAAGAACTTACTTGTGCTAAACATACCTGGTAGCGGAAACAAAACTCTGCAATAACAGAGTCAAGCTTTCCGTTCAAAGAAAACACACCCAAAGTAAAAGGATACATGTAAAAGTATGTAAAATCGTCCTTGGGTAGGGTCACTCGCTCCGATAGATCAAGAGCAACAATATCCAAATCATGGCAGCGGCAGTTGTCCTTCATAGTAGGAATGCTAGAAGGACAGATTGAAGAAGGATACCTACTGACAGCCCATGTAAGAGGGTTAGCAGTAGGAAATTTCTCTTCAAAGTCTTTTGTAGTAACAAGACTTCTAGGGATGATAGATCCCACTATTGGAGGAGTAGAGTTTGAAGAACTGGTACGTTTCGAGGGAGAAGCCATTGTACGGAAGAAGGAAAAGGTTTTTGCTTGAAGAGAATTAGAGAAAAGATGAAGAGCATGATGCAAGTCGAATAAGGGAAACTTGGATAATTATGGAGTATAAGGGAGAAAGTTGATGCGTATAAGCACAAGTTTTGTTGGCTAAATTCATGGCCATGATTACCTCAAAATCGGCAAAAGCTATGCTGAGTCGTGGGATGACGCGTGTTCAGGGCATTAAATGCGGAGAGACGTGCGTCTAATCAGTCGTCAGAAGCCTTCAGAGGAAGTTATAGTAATTCCCGCCAAAAGAATATTTCTACCAACTTTCCGGTAACACAAAGTTATGTCACCAGAAAGCAGGGGGACTATCTGTATAGGGTAAAATACGCTATGCCACGTGGCCATCCAAAAAAGGGACACGTGGAACCTAAGACGGGGGGAATGTCCAAGACCGAAGGCAACTGTTCCGTCTGTCACCGAGGAGAATAACGCTCATAAGGATATAATCAATACTCCTCACCCAGTAGCATTTAATAAGGAATATTCCATGGCATTAAATACGATTGCCCGTTACAAGGAATTTAGCATTTATGCTCACCGTTACATCTTCATCAGTGTTCCTCATAATTGACATTAAAGAGAGGTACGATCATAGGACCTCCTTCCCTAGACTTAGCTATAAATAATGAACTTAGTTATCATTGTAAAAGAGGAGGAATTTTCTAGCAAACTTATACTACACTCTATCCAAAGCTTAATACAATTTTATCTTCTTGCCTTTCTATTTCGTTATTTCTATGCCCGGAACCACTGTGTTTCTGCTATTTCGTCTCCATCTCAAGGCTAAGTATTGGATATCTCTTCAATTATCTTATTATTTCATGATCAAATTAATTCAATTGTATAAAAACCGCATATAAATTCAACTGTACCGTTTTACGGATAAACAAAAACATAAAATCTCTAGAAATCAATGTTTTAGCTAAGACATATTGCAGTGGAAGCAAATGATTAGCTGTAAGCTACCAATTGATTGGGATTAAAGTAGTTATCTATGCACGAATACGTGAATATTTAAAGGACTCAACTTAAAAGGGAAATTAAGAGCCCGTTTGACCATGAATTTTTTTTCATATTTTTTTTTGAAATTTTTTCACTTTTTTTTTTTAAAAATTTTTGTTTGACCATAAAATTTTCAATTTTCACTTGAAGATAAATTTTGGAATTGTTCGAAAATTTTAAAAACTCCAAAAAACTATTTTTCAAAATTTTAACTCAAATCACTCACAAAAATTCAAAAACAACCCAAAATTATATTCATGTCCAAACACAACTCTAATTTTCAAATACCATTTTCACTTCCATAATTTTACAAGTCTTATGTCCAAACGCCCACTAAGTATTCTAATCATGTATAATTTGTCCTTGAATCAAAATGATACCGATGATCAGTTGTATTGACACAAATACAACATTAGCAATTTTGTAACTACAAATCCACAAGTTTGAGACGACGACGTCAACAACAACAACAGACTCACTGTAATCCTACAAGTGGGGTCTGGGGATGTTAGTATGTACCCACACATTACCCTACCTTCAAAAAGGTAGAGAAGCTGTTTCCGGAAGATCATCGCCTTAGAAAAGATAAAAGAAAGGGTAGCGGCAAGCACGTCAATTAGAAAACTAAAGCAAAAATACAAAGATACAAAACTAAAACTCAGTATTGCAATCAGAAGGCCGGAACGAAAACAATGACAAGTAATCACAAAAATCAAAGAATACGAAAATATATAAATAACGCTAACTCATGTACTAGAGCTATTATTACAAACAAGGACAACACAAAATTCTTTATGCTTTTGATATTCAAAATTATTCTTTTTTCCCCCAATAATTCAAATTCAAGTCGTATAGTATTGTTTTAAAAAACACACTATCTAGTGAAAATTCTCCGTCTCCCTCGTTCGAACCCGAGACCCTATAACCCTCTGCTCAATTAGTAGTTACAATTTTGGAAAACAAAGCGGCGTTTTTACTTTCTCCCAATCCAAAACAAATTTACCCAAACCCAATTCTTCACATCACATAAAAACCAAAAAATAGAGTAAACCTTTCCTCACCTAACAAGCAAAAGATCTCGTTTTTATCAAATTCCAATTCAGTTCAATTCAATTCAATTAGCAGTTGCAATGTCAGGTGTATCACTGAAGTGTGGTGATTGTGGAACTCTCTTCAAATCCGTAGAAGAAGCACAAGAACACGCCGAAGTTACTTCCCATGCCAACTTCAGTGAGTCCACTGAAGCCGTCCTTAATCTCGTCTGCACCGCTTGTGGCAAGCCTTGCCGCTCCAAAACGGTAAATTTTGTTTGCCCTTTTATTCCTCTTTATTGATTATATTAAGCTATGAACAGGTTTTTAATGATTTATTTAGCTAATTGATGGATCCTATCTAGTTTGAGATTGAGGAATAATTGTTGTATTTGTGAAGTATGACTAGAGGCCGACCCATGATTTAAACTTTATGGGTGCGGAATGCACCTGAACTCATTCATGATTTGAGTTACTGGGTTTGAAATTTAATATTTGTACATATTTAGTAGATTTCTTTACACATATATAGGGTTAGAACATGGCCAGTGGAATAATTGAGATATGCAAGCCCGAACACCATCGTCCTTAAGAAAAAGGTATATGGTCTGCACTAAAGCTATTAGGTTGGGCTGAACCCATACTTTACTTTGCGCATCCGCTCCTGGAAGTACCACTCCGCCCATTACTCCTTTGTGACATGGTTACAAGGCTAATATATATATATATATATATATATATATATATATATATATATATATATATATATATATATATGGTCTGCACTAAAGTTATTAGGTTGGGCCGAACCCATACTTTACTTTGAGCATCCGCTCCTAGAAGTACCACTCCGCCCATTAGTCCTTTGTGACATGGTTACAAGGTTAATATGAAGGAAAACATATATATATATATATATATATATATATTATACAACAACAACAACAACAACAACCACCCAGTATAATCCCATATGTAACCACCCAGTATAATCCCATATATACATATATATATATATAGAGAGAAAGATATATACTTGACAAATAATTTCAATTAGTTGTACATGGTTTTAGTCAAAAGGGTAGTGAGTGTTAGCTGCGCTAAGATCGGATACGCCCATGGCTCAAAGGGCTTTGATTCAACGGTAAAGGTAGTACCGAAGTAGGATTCAGGATTTGAATATTATGGGTTTGAGTTCTGAATTTAACCACTACTCATCTGATTTATTGGGTTCAAAATCTATTATTTGTATTTATTTAGTGAATTTCTTTAACACATGTAGAGGGTTTGAGCCAAAGATATTGGTTCAGATGACCACGTAACTGAAGCACTACATCCTTTTGTGGGTGGTTCAACATCGGTGAACCAAAACTGATAGTTAAGTGGAGAAGGATAGAGGAGCAAAATCATTTACCACCAAGTTTTGAAGCTGAAACGGTGGAGTACTTGGTTATAAAAAGAAAAAACTAAAAGTTTGGATCCATCTGTGTGCGCAGTGGTATATTATATTGCTAGTCATGTGAATTTGTGTGGAGATAGTTTGCCGAAAATCGAAATACTCAGCTGAATACGCTTAAAACTTCTGATCGGAATATGAACAGTTTATTTCTGCTGTAGTGATGATTTAGCTGTTATTGTAGCTTGACAATGAAGATTTTTGTGAATTTGGGGGTTTTTGATTTATGAAGGAGAGTGATCTCCACACCAAGAGAACTGGGCACACAGAGTTTACGGACATGACAGCAGAGGCAGTGAAGCCAATCAGCTTGGAGTCGCCAAAGGCAAAGGCTGATGATGATGAAGACATGGCAGAGGGTGGTGATGACAGTGGTAATGGTAAGCATGAAGATAGTAATTCATTGTGGTTGAGTTTTTTGGTCTTTTAAGTTACAATGTTGTTGTTAGATAACTTTATTTATTACTTATGAGATTTCCTAATTGGGTGAGGCTTATGAGCAAAGTAAAGGCGTTTCTTTTCCTCTTTTAATTGTTTATGGGGAAAGCTATTTGTAGTAGAACTTAAATGATGTATTTACTTTAAATAGTTCATGGAGGATTTAGGAGAGGGTTATTTCTTTCCGTGAAATACGTATGACGGAATTAAGATTATTTACTGAAATTACCACTTCCCTTTGAAAAGAATGTTCTTTTTTCAGCGGCTTCATCTTATGAGTTAGCTTAGAGGAAGAAAATACTCTCTGTCAATATAGAGAACCAAGGGGATAGAAGTACCATGAACTTTTGGGAGAAATTACAACATCTAGACAAGTTGGGATAGAGGGGTGTTCTCATTTGTTTAACGCTTTTATTCATCAACCAAGCTCTTTATGTACATCTAGAATTTGCAATTTGAAGGTGCTTATCATCCAACTCTTCTTTTTTGTTTTTGTTAATTAATAAGGGTGCTTATCATCCAACTCTAATTGAGAAGACTATGAAACACAAAGATTGCACCTAAATATTCGGTCAAATGAGGCACAAGCATCTGAGTAGTTCCTTATTTTTGTTTGTTTTATACATGGGTACACGTGTGCTAATGTGCTCCTTTTTTCTAGAAATGGTTGTTCCTGAAGTAGACCAAAATGTGCTATCAGAACTCGAGGCAATGGGATTTCCCAAAGCTAGGGCTATCCGTGCACTCCACTTTTCTGGTGAGTACTTTTGTAGAATCTTCATCGTTATGATTGTTTCTACATCTATTCAAAGATGAATTCAAAGAAAAGGTCACATTTCCAAAAAACAAATCATGCATGAATTCATGTGGATAGCTCTAGCAGAAAGAAAGAATGCATATTATGAACATGGATGAACTCGAGGCAATGGGATTTCCCAAAGCTAGGGCTATCCGTGCACTCCACTTTTCTGGTGAGTACTTTTGTAGAATCTTCATCATTATCTATTCAAAGATGAATTCAAAGAAAAGGTCACATTTCCAAAAAACAAATCATGCATGAATTCATGTGGATAGCTCTAGCAGAAAGAAAGAATGCATATTATGAACATGAATGAACCTGGCCTGCTCTTCCTCTCCCTCGCCCCCCCCCCCCCCGGAAGATCTGTGGATAGGTCTTTCTCACTTGTTGTAAATGTGTTTTTAATTTGTGGCATTATCTCTTTAAGTTTTATCCTTTTAATTTGCTCCTTTTGTTTTCCTTCCACCGGTGTTTGGCAGTCTGAAAAAATTAAACCTTGGAATGCAAGTGATAATTTCAGCGTTTCAGAGTGTGATAGAGAACTTCTCTTGCACTTCTTGACTGGCCAGTATGTGAATCATAAAGCTTCAGTACTGAATTAAATACCAACTGCACAACTGGCATAAGATTAGTGTGCGGTCCTTATCAAATGATTAATGTGTAGTCCATGGAGTGTCTTCCTTGAATGGAATATGTATTTTCATACCCTTCTTCAATTCCTATATCCTCTATCAATACTTCTTTAAAGCTTACTTTTTCAACATTTCCTTGTTTAGTCAATCTCCCAATTCCGTGTGTCTGCTGTTGACCACTTTGTTGTCTGTGTGTGTATCCTCTCTGTTTCATTTATATAAATCAAGGCATCTCTAATTGTGCATGCCTGTGAATTTTGGATACTCTTCCCAGGCAATGCCAGCTTGGAGGCTGCTGTAAATTGGGTTGTAGAGCATGAAAGTGACCCAGACATAGATGAAACACCACTGGTATGGAAATTTCGGATTCCTGCATTTATTTGCTTAATTCACTTTCTAATTCTATTGTGATTGCTGTTAGCTCGTGAGATCCATAAAGATGTATTTATGTGGCATTTATGATCTATTAACATGAAGTTGTACTCAGTGATGTGAATTCTGTGGCTGAGTGCCTGTGGAACATGTTAAAAGAGACCTTAGTTCATAGTATTATAAGGGTATGAGGCCAGCTAGGGCATTACAGCTTGGAGGATGGTCCAATTCATGCTCAACCAGGCCTAGGAAAATTTAAAAGAGTAGTTTGCACTTTGCTGATTATTAGGTAACACCCAGAGAAGTTTTTACACCAAAAGAAAACACTTTAGCCTCTGAATCTTTTTTTCCCTTTTTCTCTATTATGAGAAGGCCAATGCTTTTCTTGGTGTTCCAGTGAAACAAATGTTTGTTGCATCTTTGCTGCAACCTATAAACATTTCTACAGAAGACTCTCTTAAGAGTCTATTTGTATAGAAGACTGTAGGGGTGTGCATTCGATTTATCGATTCGATTTTGACCCTTATCGATAATTACTTATCGATTATCGATTTGTACATATGCTTATCGTTATCGTTTCAATAAGGTTTCGATTTTTTCGATTTCGATTTATCGATTTCGGGGGCTTATCGATTCGGTTATCGATTACACCAATAAGAAAATTTGCGGGATTCCACGGAAAGTATATCGCTATAAACGCGCCTAACTAATATGGACAAAAAGAAGCTAAAATAAGACGAACACCATTTATAATATAAGAATTGTGTCAACAAGCACATGCAACAAAACTAAAGTAAGGGACCAAATGTATGCCACCAACACTCCAACGGTATAAAAAAACAAAACAAAACAAAACACATCATCACGGCTAATTCTGTTTTCCATTAATTTGAACTTCATTCCCTTGATCTTTAAATATGATCATTCCTTAAATGTGGTAGAGGAAATAATAGGGTAAGGGACTTAGGGTAAAGGAAAGGGTATAGATTAGGGAAAATAATACTGTATAGCCGCTTTCAAAATAGTAGCGGAATATATATACATTCTGTATGTTATATTAATCTACACAAATAGGTAATTACTCATTTAACAAGTGTCTACAGTCTAGGGGTGTGCATTCGATTTATCGATTCGATTTTGACCCTTATCGATAATTACTTATCGATTATCGATTTGTACATGTGCTTATCGTTATCGTTTCAATAAGGTTTCGATTTTTTCGATTTCGATTTCGATTTCGATAACAAATAATCGATTCGATTTATCGATAAACCGATTCGAATGCACACCCCTAGAAGACTGCGTGTCATTTGTGGAAAACCATGTTCTGTTGTGAGATTTCCTATTTTCTTGGTATACTCCTTGTATAAGGGTACGCTTTGCCCCTTTTAAATGAAATTTATTACTTTACAACAACATACCCAGTATAATCTCACATAGTGGGGTTTGGGGAGGGTAGTGTGTACGCAGACCTTACCCCTACCTTGTGCAGGTAGAGAGGCAAATTTATTACTTTATAAAAAAAAAGTTTGTCAATGAAATCATTAGTGTTTGTTCTATTTTTTAATTCTATGTTCAAACTTATCCTGCTTCGATAATGCAATGATTATTAAAATTTACCTAGGTACCTGCCAGTGCCAAGAAAGCTGAGGCTCCAAAGCCTTCTCTTACTCCAGAGGAAATAAAGAAGAAACAAGAAGAGTTGAGGTAAATTCTTGCTGGTAAATTGTTCTCTGCATTTTTTGAGTAGCTGGACACAGTTTTGGGACTTGTATGTGCTTAATTTCTGAGATATGTCTATTTCATTTGTTTTGTTCGTTGTGAATCAGAGTAGTTTTTAATGCTTCTTTTAGCTTACAGTATGCATCTAATATTTCAATGACTTCTAGGGAGCGTGCTCGTAAGAAGAAAGAAGAGGAAGAGAGACAAAGGGAAAGAGAGAGAGAAAAGGTAACTCTTGATTTAGATTTCGACGTTAATTTGCGTGAGTGGAGGTCAATTGAAACTTATTGCTGAATTACGTTCTGAAACCGGTGATCAGTCTGGTTAAATAGGTCAATAAAATCGTTTTGTCTTCTGCTTCAGGAAAGAATTAGAATTGGTAAGGAACTCCTGGAAGCAAAACGGATGGAAGAAGAGAATGAAAGAAAACGGTAAGCATTGATTGAACTTTGGCACTCTTTCTGTTTTTACTCCCAGTGATGTCTGCTCATATAATTGAAATTTTTCACTTTGATGTATTATAGTATAATAGCATTGCGCAAGGCCGAAAAAGCGGAAGAACAACGAGCTAGGGAGAAAATTCGTCAGAAACTGGAAGAAGATAAGGTCGAAACTCCAATCTGTCATGAAACTGTTTATTCAGCCCTTCTACATCTAGCTTGCTTGATGGAACTTGTCAGTTTATTAATGTATAAAACACGTTTCTGTCAATGTATTTGGTTACACTTAAAAACAGTATTTGCTAATATATATCTTGCCACCTACTCTTTGCTTGGCAGCCTAGAACGTTTAGAAGTTTGAATAATTGCAGTCATAAAATTCTTAGTGCCGGTGGCTCTAGGGGAATGGGCTTGTCTGTTCCTGTTGATATTTCTATAAACATTCTTAGTGTAGAGAGCTTTTTCTGCCAACTACTAAGTATCCCATTGATATTCTACTGGCATTCAGAGGGTGAAGTAGTAACTTATGTTGATAATTGCTGTCAGCTTCTTATTGGTGTACTCTGGATGAGATGTGCATCATTTTGCATCTTTAAACACTGCTGGGACCTGTGATTAAGGTTTGACCAGGTTAAGGGCTGTTAAAATATAATGTGAAATCATAAGGTCCTGGCTATTTCTACTTCAGCCAAAACACATGTCTAAGCAAATTGACAACTTTGTGCAATCCTCACAACATAATTACCTGCTCCAAATTATACCTGACCATCTGTATCACTTAAGTGCAATCCTCAACTTACTTACCTGCTGCTGCCGTCTTTGTCATGTTGAAACAATTGTGTTTACTTTCACAGGCCGAAAGAAGAAGGAAACTGGGTTTGCCAGCAGAAGATCCTGCTCCCCCCAAACCTTCTACACCTGTTGTGGAGGAAAAAAAGGTGTTTATTTATGCAATAGCAACTCTTTTTATGGTTTTGTCCCATATGGACATAACTTGTCCAACTCAAAAACTTCATTGGATGTATTTTTGGTAGATCACATTGCCTGTCAGACCAGCTACAAAGGCAGAGCGGATGAGGGAGTGCCTGAGAACACTTAAACAGACCCACAAGGTAATCATTCAGTTGTTTTTGCGGTCCCTAGGCTAGAGTACTTTCTTGCAGGTTTGAGCTTTGGAACTGAGAGGTGGTTAAAGGTGTACCAGCCTACCTTTATTTAAAAAACAAAGTGAGCTTACATGCTCTTCCACCCCCTGTTTCAAACTCAAAAGTGTAGAAAGCAAAGAACATCAGAGTTATTATTGGCTGTTCAGGTTAAATTATTCTTTTCATCAAGAAATAAGATAATGAATTTTAAATACAAGGAAAGATTGGATCCTTCTTTTTTCTTTCTTTTCTTATAGTGCATTACATTAGGAAGCTTTTTCTTTTGAAAGGTAATCAACAAACTCTCCCTAGGAACTGAGTAGCCTATGAATGACATTCTACATTCCTTTGGTGGGTTTTAGATATTGAATGAGATGTCATTCTAACTTCATTGTTGGTGAACTGATTCTTTGTTCGTTTTCCTCTTATGGTCCAGGATGATGAGACCAAAGTCAAGACCGCTTTCAACACACTGCTAACTTATGCAAAGAATGTCGCAACAAATCCCAATGAGGAGAAATATCGCAAAATCAGACTTAGCAATGCTGCTTTTCAGGTGAAATGTCATTAAGGAAATAGTTATGCCTCTATTGTTGCTCTTTAGTTACTTCTGAATTGATGACTCCACTCCTTTATAAGAGAAAGCTCCTCTAATCCTTTCTTTTATAACCTTGTTAGTGGGTTGACTTCATTCAATTTCTGAAATTAGGAGGTGGGGTGAGGTTCATGTACTTTATTATATGCGTAGTTGATTATTTTTTATTTGCCAAAATGCAGCATAATTTAGGACCCTCACCTCCAATTATTCGTGCCAAGAGTATAGCAATTCCCAATTTCTTTCTCCCCTACTTATTAAAAAAGGAAAAAAAATTCTCCCCTATTTCTTTCATTTTTTTAGTTTCTGGGCGACCGGGGTGGTAAGGTTGTATACCTTTTGCCACCTAGTTCTTAGTCCCAGGCTGAAGAAGGTGGTCTAGAGCTCATAAAACTGATGATTGTTGCAACTCTACATTCAGATAGTTATAGTTAGATACAATATATTATCTCAGCCACGTTGATTCATATAAATCTTACGATTCTTGTAACAATATTTAGAATCCTTTAATCTGATACGTTCGATCATCTCAGCCAAGTAGATTCATAGACTCATAGAACTAACACATCCACATCTTTTGACTAACAGGATAGAATCGGCAAGCTGCAAGGAGGCATTGAGTTTCTTGAGCACTGTGGATTTGAGAAAATTGAAGGGGGTGAATTCTTGTACCTGCCAAGAGAAAAGGTGGACATGGCAGTGCTTAATACTGCTGGAACTGAGTTGAACAATGCAATTAAAAATCCCTTCTTTGGAGTCCTCTAATCTTAAAATACATTAGATCAAGCGAATAGTAAAAAGAATGCTTCGTCCAACTCTTCTCCCTTTGTTTATTCAAGGTACTTTAGTTATATAAACGGAAACTGTAAAAGCTACTATGAGGTCGATAGATGGATGTTCCCTTTTGAACTTTTTTTTAATCTATAAGTTGAAGGATTATGGTCATTTTGAAACTTGATGTCCTTGGAATTTGGAAACGACGGAAATATGTATGATAAATGTCAGGTTCATGGTTGGATGTATTTCGTTTGATTTTGAATTAAACTCCTAAAAGGAGGTAACGGCGAAGTGTATCAATAGCCACTTTTAAACCCGTTATTTAAAATATATTCGCAATTTACAATGTATTTAAAGATTACCCAATTCATCCAAACTTCAGGAGGACTAAGTATCCTGAATTTTAGTGTTCTGAGAGCGAGCTGCTAATTTGAAATTTCTCATGTCCTGAAGTTTGAACTTGAGAACTAATTGATTTCAATTCATGTTGAATAAATTCATAAATATGCATGTTTAAAGTAATTAGTTTTAAAATTAAAATCGAACTTTTGAGACTATGGGAGGCTATTCAACAACTTACTTTTCCTTAATTCAACTTTTATAAAGGAAAAATACAAATATCTTGTGACTTTTGTTAACAAAAAAACCCATAATTGCTGGCAACACTCTCTTATTGGAGAGTGAGAAACTCCAACTTTTCTCTAATGCATTCCCAACCCCTTAAGAAACAAGATACTATTCCTCCAAAACCACCGGATTTAATCCACCACCTTCCCTCATCAAATAATCTGGAAAGACCAACATCCTTCAAAGATAAACTATTGGAATCTAACCTAACAGTTTTCACTCCTTCCATAGATCATGATGATATGCTCGACTCAACAAAGATATTGGAAGACAAGAAAGGAATGCATGATCCAGGGACTACTCTAGGTGACGCAATACAAATCACCCTTTCGTTAGATGATAGATAACGTATCTATGAACCATGAAAATACTCCATTATAATCAAGTTAGTAGGAAAACGTATGCTACACCATTACCTAAAGAGGAAGATCCAAGATCTATGGAAACCAACGGAAGACTTCTCTTTAATTGACCTTGGTGAGGACTACTACATCATCAAATTCACAAAGAAAGAAAATATGGATAAAGCTATTCACCTAGGGCCATGGTTCATTAATGGCCATTTCCTTTCTATCTCCAAATGGAAACCAAACTTTGTGGCTAGAAATGAAAAATTAACTACCTCAGCAGTTTGGTTAAGGCTGCCCCAATTACCAACGGAATTCTATGATGGTCAAATCCTAGCAAAAATTGGCAATGCAATAGGACGCCTACTGAAAATTGACACATGCACCTCAACAACCCTAAGAGGTCGATATGCAAGGATTTGTGTTGAAATCTCTTTGGAAATCCCTGTTCAACCCTTCCTATTTGTTGGAAATCATAAACAGGATATACTCTATGAAGGGGAGGATTTTCTTTGCAAAAATTGTGGTCGCTTTGGTCACACACTAAGACAATGCACCTATATCAAAATGCAAAGCTTGGATCCTCACCATGCAGGACAAGAACATCAACAAGAAGCTACAAAAGATGCCATTGACTCTGAATGGAAAATAGTTTCCTTCAACAAGAAGAAGAATCAAGGCAAAAGAAATCCAAACCAACTGCCCAACATCCAAGTAAAAGGCAACCAAGGTCCAGGTATTCCGGTTAACTTATTCAATGTAAAAACAGGTAAGTTTTGGTTACTCAAACTGTCCAATATAAGACTAAAAATTATCCTTATAGTAATCAAATTCCTCCTGTTAATACCCACCCAGACATGGCTACTGATCAAACAAACTCTCACGAGGAAAACCGCCAATTAAATGAGAGACAAACGGTTTTGCCAAAAACCACTAAGGACAATGTCAATTTTATTTGTGAAAATAAATTTAATCAATTAAATAATGACTTGGATCTTGACACACAAGATACTTGCATGCAAGACTCCACCGTGGCACCTTATAATACCAACTCTTTAGTTAAAACCAATGCCATGCAAATAGGCTCTAACATGGACGATTCTACCCCTACCTCTAATCCTATCCCTACGCACCCAAACCACCCCCCCCCCCCCAATCCGAAATCTCCCCAAAATCTTTTGTTATCTAAAGAATCTACCCAAAATCCCTCCTTAAGATATGACAAGATCCCTTCCCTCCATGCATGTTGGCCAAATGGCAATGGCTATAGAAGCAAGTAGCCAAATGGACATTCCCATAGGAAATCCAAACAAAACCATTAAGTGTTCTATAAATCATGACCTAGGGCAACCAAAAGCCATAAACAAAAACGAAGCAATCATCATTCCCTCCCCCAATCGGTTAACCCCTTCTCCTACCCAAAATCCCACGCCAACTTCCAGTATAATAAATACAACTCCCATTATCCAAGATGCCAAGAGTTCCTTCAACCCTAAGAAAAAGAACTCGACTAATCCAAATCCTAAGACAACGACATCCTCTCAATATGGAAAACATTCCCCCCTCCATCCCTACGAACAACTCCAGATTATTTACGCTCAACCACCCCAAGCCCAAGATTATCAACCCACAAGTTGGATGGAGCTAGGTCTCATGGGCCATGCACTCTCGTTCACAGTCCCGATCAACGGTCAAGAGGCCATTGTGATCTTGCACAATACGCAGTATCTAGCTCAACTTATCACGGAGGGAATGAGATTGGCAATGAACAATTATCTCAACCAAGTATGGCTCAACAACATCATTCATCCTATGGCTCCATCAATGAACCCTCAAATGGCTCAAACGATGAGAGAGCAATGGAACATGCCACCCCAGTTCAACCCCATAAACCCTCAAAATGCACCATTGGGTCTCCCATTCTTTCCAATGGAGATGTATACCCACCTACCCCCATCTTTCTCCCTTGGGATGTCAATCTAGGAAACCAAGGGATGGTACCCCCCCCTCCCACCACCACCAGTACCCCCACCCCATCAACAAGACGACCCCATACCAGGGCCAGTGGAGGCAGTGATGGAGGAGGACGACGTTCCCCTAAACCTTCACTTAGGGCCAACCCTAGAACTCCCAAACCTAGACGGAATAAAAAAATTTCTCTTCACGGACAGGCACGAGAAGAGGCATGTTCTTAGCTGCCCGTTGGCCCTATACAAATGCTCGATGGATATTCGTCCTCCACACGACCCAACTGTGGGCAACAAAGCAATGATTCTAGTTCCATCCATGAGGGGAAACCCTGTCCAAGCAGGGGGGATAAGGGAAAATGGGGAGATGATCAACACTGACTCAAATTTAGCCATGAATCAACCCACTAATTTCATAATATGGAATATACGGGGAGGAAACAATGATAATTTCAGGAGAAATTTTAGGGAGATGCTTGACACCCATAGGCCGTGTTTGGTAACTTTGTTGGAAACAAGGATGGGCAACCATGCAACCATGCTTAATGAATTTGGATTCACTGAGATGATAGAAGTTCCATCGGAGGGGCAGTCAGGTGGTATGGTTATGATGTGGAGGGATGACATAATCAACGTTCAAAATGCTGTTAGAAGAGGTCAGGAGATCCATGCAACCATAGAGGTACATCCTATACGTAAACCTTGGCTTTTTACTTCTATCTATGCTATTACTAATATCCATTATAGAAATATCATGTGGGATCACCTAGAAAATATTAGTAATACTTATAGAGGACCTTGGTTAGTAGGTGGTGACTTCAACGACATTTTAGCCGCTAGTGAGAAATTTGGCGGCAAACCCATCAAAGATAGTAGAGCTAGGTACATTTGGTCCAAAATTAATAAGTGCAATCTAGTAGATCTAGGCTTCAAAGGAAGCAAATACACTTGGACCAATAATAGACATAACAAGAAGAGTCTTATTTTAGAAAGACTTGATAAAGTCTACGGAGATGAGGAATGGATTGAACTATTTCCTAAAAGCTCTATTATCCATTTGCCTAGAACCCACTCTGACCATAATCCTATCCTTGTAAAATTAATTCCAAGGAATAGGTCTCCTTATAAGGTCCCTTTTAGGTTAGAAACCTTTTGGTGCAAACATCTGGAATTTCAATCTATTGTTAAAAATAATTGGAATGATAGTGACTACTTTAAGTCTAGCTTCAACTTTATTAACAAGGTTAAATCTTGGAAGGACAGTACTTTTGGCAATATCATGGGAAGGAAAAGAAAACTCTTAGCTAGACTAAAAGACATCCAATCTTCAAATAGCTATACTACTAGCTCTTTCCTTAAAAAATTAGAATTAGATCTTCAACATGAGTTCAATGATATTCTAAAAATAGAAGAAGACTACTGGAAACTTAGGTCCAGGATAATGTGGCTTAATGATGGAGACACCAATACAAAATTCTTCCACGTCTCTGCCACCAATAGAAAAAGAAGAAACAAAATAACTTTCTTCAAAGATGAAGCTGGTAACTGGATAAATGACCATAATCTTATTTTGTCTCATGTTCAAAATTACTTTATCTCTACATTTACCTCTTTTCATACTCAGTCTACCTGGACTAACCCCCTAAATACTCATTCCAGTTGTAATATGATTAACCTAGATCATCTAGATACCCCCCCCCCCC